CCTTAAAAATGCAAGACAACTGCTGTCCTACTGAGCTGTATCCTAATTTCCCAGATAACACCTTGATCTCAGACTCCCAGTTTCCAGAATTGTGCAGAAATGAATATTGTTTAAATCTCCCAATCCATTACCTTGCTGTGACAGCCCTATAGACGAATAGAGAAGCACTAACTTTATAGTCTTGACTGAAATGTTTAAAATACTCTGAAGTCTCTACTTCCAAGTCTAAGAAAATATAGGAAATATGAGGAGTAAGTGAACACGCAAGATGACATTATGATATAGTTTTTAATTGATTATAAGACGAAGAGCTGTGCTGGGCACTTATAAACACAGGCACATATAACCCTCACGAGGTCCAATGAAATAATCATTTGACATATTATTTTTCTCTTAGCCCTTGCTTTTCACTGTAAAACAGAGATAAGGATAAATAAATACTTGTTATAGTAAACTTCAGAGCCAGGCACAATGGTGTACACCTGTAATCCCAGCCATTTGGGAGGCTGAGGCAGAAGGATCACATGTTTGAAGTCCACTTGGACAAGTTAGCAAGAACTTGTTTTAAAACGTAATTTTAAAAATAATTGGGAGAATAGCTTAGTGCAGAATGCTTGCCTAACACGTGTAAGGATCTAAGTTCAATTCCCAACACTGCAAACATAAAACTAAACACATAATTTTTAAAATATCAAACACGTCAGGAAATCAGGAGTTGTGGTGTTTCCCAGGTACACACTATAATATGTTGCCTAGGTATGTAATAAGAGCTTGATAAATACTTGCTGATTTGTCTACAATAGCTCTGAAATGTCCCCATGTTCACCCTTCACTCTACTAATAGACAAACTTGTGCTGTGACTAGTTACAACAGAGTTACTTTTATGTTCATGTCCTAAAATAAGAAATCAGGATAAAAATAATGGAATCTGTTAAGCTTACAAGAGACAACACAGCTGGGAATGGTGGCAATTGCTGGTAGTCCTACTACTCTGGGAGGCTGAGGCAGGAAGATCACAAGTTTGAGTCCAGCATGGGCAATTTAGTGACTTGGTGAGGCCCTGTCTCAAAAACAAAAAGTAAAGGATGGGATGCAGCTCAGTGTAAAAACTCTGGATTTAATCTCCAGTACCATACAAAGATGAAAAAGGACACATTCACTTTATTCTGACCAAAATCATGAAAATGTGATTTCTATCTACTGGAGATGAAAAAATTGACGCTGAAAATATGCAATGGCCATGACTTAGAATACATTTTAGGGCTGGGAATTTACCTCAGTGGTAAATTCCACTGCCTGTCTCACAAGTGCAAGGTCCTGAGTTAGATCCTCAGTACCAATAAAAGTTAGTAAGAGACAGAAGAAAGACTGCAAGCAGGCACAGTCTCTATCTAACTGCGCTGTATGTGCTGGAGAAAATACTTGTTTTTAAATTTGAGCTAAAAGGCAGGTGTGGTGGTGTCCACTTGTAATTCCAGTACTTGGGAAGAGGCTGCAGAAAGAGGTTAATTTGGGCTACCTAGCAAGATCCTATTGCAGACATAATGAAACAAAACAAAACTGGGATATAGCTTTGTGGTGGAGTGTTTGCCTGAATGTGTGAGAGCCTTGGCTGGATTCTCCAGAACTATAAAAAGTAGAAAATAATATAAGTAAAAAATAAATTTAAGCCACGCACAATAGGGTATACTGGTGATCCCAGAACTCAAAATGTTGAGGCAGGAGGGTTGTGAGTTCAAGGACATCCTGGGCTACAAAGTGAATTCAAAGACAGCCTGGACTGTGCAATGAGATCTTGTCTCAAGCAACTAAAAATAAATAACGGTAAAAGCCAGGTGTGATGGTGCACGTCTGCAATCCCAGCACCAGGAGAGGCTGAGGCAGGAGGATCAATTGTTTGAGCAAAGCATGAGCAATTTAGTGAGACCCCGCCTCAAAATTAAAAATGGATTGGGGCTGGAGCTCAGATAATCCCCAGTACCTAAATAAATACATTTTTAAAAATTGAGCAAAAAGGAATGAAACAACTGTGAATTTTATGCGATGCTAGACATTGATCTAGCTAGTGACACTATGTGAGTTTCAGGTTTCATTTTTTATTGGAGACTTGTGCTTCGACAGCAATAAAATTCATGAGCGGTGGGTGGGTGCTGTCTGCATATGCTTGCACAGACTCACCACCCTTTGCAGGGAATTAAATTAGACACTGTGAACATTTAAATTTATGTCCCAGGACAAATTTAAACCCATGTCATTATAGAGGGAGAAACAGCTAAATTCCTTATCACAAGTCTGACTCAACAGCAATTTAATTTGTCAGTTAACTTGGTAGAAAACTAATCTTAAAACATGTGTAAAAGATCAGAAATCTAATGCAATGAAATATTGCTTACACAAAATATTTTATAAGTACTGCGTATTAAGAGTGGTTCTGTTTGGATTTTCTGTAATCTCTGTCTTCCTCTCCCTCTTCTTCCCCTTCCCTTCCCCTTCCCCTTTTTCTCCTCCTCCTCCTCCTCCCCCTCCTCCTCTCTCCACCCAGCAGCAGCTACATTCCACCCCTTCTGATTTTTTATTTTGAGACAGTGTCTCACTAAGTTGCCCAGGTTGGTCTTGAACTTGTGATTTTCCTGTCTCAGCCACCCTGAGTGCTGGAATAACAAGTGTGCACCAGAGTGCCTGGCTTGCCTTCTCTGTATCAATGGTAGATATTTCTGAGGCTGAAGGAGCACTTTTGAGTTAGTGCATCGGGAAGGGTCGAGTTATTTTTATGATTTGTAAGTGACTTGTACTGGAGCATTCGGGTTGCTGCACAGGGGAAGGTCAGGGAGGGGGGGCACCCGGAGAGGGTATGGAGCAGGCAAACCTGCTGATGCCTTGCTTTACACAGGTCTTTGTCTGACTGTTCCTGATTTGCAGCCTCTGTAATGAGCAGATGAGCCTGGTAGAAACTGTCCTAACCAAGCCCTGGGAACTGTGGCTCCGTATAGGTTGGAGGACACTTTGCTGCCCACAAGGGTGCACTGAGATACAGCAGCAATTCAGCAATTACATGGTTCTGGAAACTCATGTAACCGAAATCTAAAGAGAAAGTGCCACAGCTGGGTGTGGTGGTGCAGGCCTGTAATCCCAGCACTAGGGAGGCTGAGGCAGGAGGATCACCGTGAGTTTGAGACCAGCCTGGGCTACATAGTGAGTTCCAGGTCAGTCTCAACTACATAGGCCCTATCTCAAAAAACAAAACAAAACAAAATGAAATAATAATAATAAAGAGAAAGTGTCAGGAAAACACAAGTACTGCTGGTAAAGCACCGTGCTCTCTAAAAACACCAAGATAGTGGAAAACAAATGAAGGTTGGAAAATTGATGCAGATTAAAAGATATTAAAGAAGGTTAATAAACCAGACATGGTGGCACACACACCTGTAATCCCAGCTACTCTGGAAGCTGAGGCAGAAGGATCTGAAGTTTGAGTCCAATCTAGGAAATTTAGCACCTTGGTGTGAACCTGTCTCAAAATAAAAAAAATAAGAGCCAGGCATAGTGGTGCATGCCTATATTCCCAGCCCTCTAGGAGGCAGAGGCAGGAGGATTGCAAGTATGATTTGTGCTTGAAGAATTTAGCAAGTCCCTGCTTCAAAATAAAAAAATAAAAAGGGCTAGAGGTGTAGCTCATTGCCAAGGCTCTGGGTTCAATCTTTAGTACCACAGGGGAACAAAAAACTGGGGTAATTAGCAAAAGTTGAGTACAGTTCACAGATTAGAGAGTTTTGTGTTGAGATTAAATGAGGTGAGTAGGAAAATGTCCTTGTTGAGTACAGTTCACAGATTAGAGAGTTTTGTGTTGAGATTAAATGAGGTGAGTAGGAAAATGCAGCTCAATTGCAGTACAATTGCAGCTCAATCCTGAGTGGTTCAGAAAAGCTTCTCGGTGTCTTTTCTACTTAGGCAAATTAAGTAGAATAACTTGAGAAATTTCTGGAAGTTCCTACTGGAGTTTAGATGTGGAATTCCTCCAGTGGCCCAGGTGTTAAGGGCTTGACCTCCTGTGTGTGGTGCTGATGGGAGGTAGTGGAACCCTTAAGATTTGGGTGAAGTGTGGTGATCATGATGCTCCCTAGAAGGGGCTGTTGGACCCTGGCCCACTCCCTTCCCCACTCTCTGCATCCCAGCTTCTTCAGCCATGTGTCCCTGTGATGTTCTGCCTCACTGTGAGCCCAAAAGCAATGAGGCCAACTGGTCATGGACTAACCCCTTCCAAACCGTGAGCTCATAAACCTTTTCTCCTTTTATGTTCTTCGCCTCAGGTATTTTGTCACAGTTACGGAAAGCTATCCTAAGTGTCTCTGTTCAGAAATCTCACTAGTTTACCTAGTAGATGGATCTTGAAACATTAATGAAATAAACTAGGCCACTGTTAAACTTCTATTTGCCTGAAGCATCGCCTTGGTTTCAGATGGTGCTTTAGGAGAAGTGAGCACTGGGCTGACAATGTAGGTCAGCAGTACAGTGCCTGCTAGCAGGTACAAGGCCCTGGGTTCAATCACAGGTACTAAAAAGAAAAAAGGAAAAACTAAAAATAAAAGTACTCTTAGGAGGAAAATCAAGTCTCAGGTAGGTGCTTCATTTTGTCTCTCATTCATTCACCTGCCTTCTCTTATTCCTGCATAGTTTTTTGTAGCTCGTGTTAGTTGAGGTGCATTTTTCATGGTCTCTAGAGGAGCTGCGGCAATGTAATGTAATATAGGGCTGGGCATTTAGCTCAGTGGTACTTCGGCTTGCCTCACAAGCACAAGGTCCTGAGTTCAATCCCTGGTGTATATATAATCTTTGTAACAGACTCTCTGTGATACAGTATAATGTTACATGTACTTATGCAAGGTGACTTGTTAGGCAGCTGACAGGGTCAGAGGTGGTAGAGTCCACAGCGGCCGGCTGCATGTGGGAGCTGGGGAACCCAGTAGTGCTCAGTCCCATAAACTGGAAGCTGTGAACGCACGCGAGGAATCGATGGCGTAAACCCGGTCAGAGACGGAAGACCTGGCATCACCCCGGAGAGTCGCTGGTGTGAACCAGCACCAGAGGCTGGAGAAACTGGCGACCGACTTCCACAGGTCCGGAGGAAACAGCAGCGCGAGGCACGCGACCGTGCGGGGGAGCTCTTCAGAACGCACACCGACTTCCTCCTTTCCCTGAGGCCCCTTCCAGGCTGCAGGCCCTCTGGGTGGCCTCGCACACCCTGGCCAGTCTGCCCTACGTCTCTGGAAGGGCCCCGCAGACACCCCCAGAAGTGTGCCTCACTGATCTGCCAGGCGTTTCTTAGTCCGCTTGAATTGATATTTCACAATTACCTGAGGCATGATCTGCACACAGCAAAGTTCATCCCTTAAATTCGACAACTTTTAAAAGATATGCAGTTGTGTAACCAACACGCTGAGATGTAAAACATTTTCGTGACCCAAGACAAGCTTCCATCTGACACCTCCTATTACTAGTGTTCCGTCCTTCCCATCATTCCCGCCAGCCACCGACTTGGTGTCTGTCCCGACAGTGTGTTTCTTAGTCTTTGCTGCCAGGGATGCAGAGACAATAGCCTCTAGCCCCTGAAGGTAGGAAGACTGTTGCTGAGTGGGGACAGAATTGTAAACAGAAAATTATCACGAGGTAAATGCTATAACAAAGACAATGACCCGGGCGTGGTGACGCACGCCTGTGATCCCAACACTCGGGAGGCTGAGGCAGAAGGATCGCTGTGAGTTCGAGACCAGCCTGTGCTACATAGTGAGTTCCAGGTTGGTCTCAACTACATAGTGAGGCCCTGTCTCAAAAAACAAACAAACAAACAAACAAACAAGCAATGGCTAGGCTTAGTGGTGCACACCTGTAATCCTAGCACTCAGGAGCCTGAGGCAGGAGGATCGCTGTGAGTTCAAGGCCAGCCTGGGCTACATGGTGATTGTAAGGCCAGCCTGAACTGCACAGGAAGACCCTATCTCAAACAGCACCCTCCCCGCAAAAAAGGGAAAGGCTGGAATTTGAATCATCAGCAAACCAGGGAGGAGTTTAATTCAACTTGAAGCAGGAAGAAACAGATAGGCAGACAGTTTGTATCTGAGAAATTGTCTTCGTTCCTCTCCTGTCTTCTCCATAGCCCAACACCAGCCAGACTGAATGTTTTTAGCCCGTGCTTCATTCTCTCTCTGCCTTCCCGGCCTTTGCCATGGGACACATTTCCTTGCATTCTGATGGTGTCCTTGCCCAGTTTATCTAGGAAAACCTCTCATGTACTCCTTCCAGATTCTCAGTGTTCTTAGAGGGTGCAGTGTTTACTTATGAAATGTCATTATCAGCACAGATAATGGTTTCTTGTTTTATTCTATTATTATTGTTTTATTATTATTTTATTTATTTGTTTGTTTGTGTGTGTGTGTGTGTGTGTGTGTGTGTGTGTTACCAGGGATCGAACTCAGGACCTTGCATTTTTGAGGCGGGCGGTGGCAACCACTGAGCTAAATCTGTGGCTCTGTTTTATTTTATTATTCTCTGTTGCCCTCGAAGACCAAGCTGCCTTACAGCTGATTAAAGGGCTCTGTGAGGAAGGAAGAAAAGACTGGAGCTCAAACTACAACTGATGAAGCTTACTTGGATTAAATGAGAAATAACTTGTAAAGGTGCAAATATGCTTTTAATGACTTGGTAGAGAAACACCTTTGAATTTTGGCTTGAGTTTCAGGATTATATTATACCAGGGGAGAAAATAACCATGAAAATGTAGTTGGTTGAATGAGAGTTCCTAGCGAAAAGTCTGGGAAAGTCATGTAGACAGCACAAACCCCTATCTATTTTTGCGATGTTCAGCCTGTATAAATTAAACTATTTAACTGTACTTATCCATTTGATAGAGGATTTCAAAAGGGAGGGAGAAAGTCGTGTTCCAGCAACAGTTTCCATTGCAGGCCTGAACAGCCAGAGGCCCCAGGCCACCCAAAGTCTGTGTGTCATGAGTCACAAAGCAAACAGGTCTTCCTGTGCCTGGAGTCCAGTCCTGAATCACGAAGTTAACTGTGAACATGACATTGTCGTAAGATAAAGCAGTTGATTCTTCAAGGGGTTTTTCATTTCCCCATATCTGTGTTCCTAGGAAAGAGACATAAAATAAAATCCATGTATTCATTGTGAGATCGTTCACAGTTAATATCAACCCATATTCTAAGTAATCTCTCTCCAAGGAAATAAAACATTTTAGAATAATTTCCTAAGTATTTTCCCCTTAAAAAAGAATATTGTGTGTTGGGCTGGGGATTTAGCTCAGTGGTTCCGCCGCCTGCCTTGCAAGTGCAAAGACCCGAGTTCGATCTGTGGTACTCCCCTCCCAAAAAAGAACATTGTGTGTCCTCTAAGATAAGGGATGATGGGGTTTATGGGTGATGGTGCCATGATACGTGGTAGGCATGCAGATATTTGCAGACTGAATCAATTGGTTCAAACAGGTGCAGGGAGGTGTGAGGATATAGCTCAGTGGTCTCGTCCTTGCCGACCACGACAGGAGCCTGGGTTTGATCACACACATGCACACACATGCACACACACAATGGGTGCAAAGGAATCTGGATTCTAATCCCAGCTCAAACTGTGTGGAGTAAGTGAAACACTTAGCCTTAGACCAGACGGATAAATACGTAAATCGTGTGGCATATTAGAAAGTGATTATTGCTTTTGGAAAGAAAAGAATAAAGCAAGATTAGGAAAATCAGGACTGGAAATGAGTGCTTAGTTGGTGTTTAACATACACGAGGCCTTAGTAAAATATTACTATTATCATTATTTTGTTTTTCTTATATATAAATGAAAGCATTTGGTCAAGTGATTCTAGTGCTTGGGAAAAATTTGAATTCCGTTTCAGGGTTTTGTGGTTAGCGGACTGTGTTTCAAGCTCCTCAAAGTTATTTTAAATTTTATAAACTATTTTGTGTGTGTGTGTGTGTGTGTGTGTGTGTGTGTGTGTGTTACTGAGGATTGAACACAGGACCTTCCCACAGTGTCTTCTTAAGTTGCTAAGCTCTTCAGGCTGGGCTCAAATTTAAAATCCTCCTGGTTCAACCTCCTGAAGTTTCACAAACTGCTATACTTTCTGTTGTTGCCTTAAAATTTTCTATTTCTCCTGGGCATGGTGACACACACCTGTGTTCTCAGCTTTCAGGTGGCCGAGGCGGAAGGATTGTGAGGAACTGAAGCCTGGACTACACAGTAAAACCCTGTGTGGGGGGCATCTGTTTTCATGTTCTTTGTGATCTCTATAACACTGTTTTTACTGATGTAAAGATTACAAAATTAATTTAAAAATACATTGATTTATTTAAAATGAGATAAACTCGATCTAAACTTCTTAGTGAATTTTGGAAAAATATGTAATATATGAAGATAGTGTTTATCAGGCCTGCTTCCTTTAATATCTTATATTTTTAGTCATTGATCTGGTATTGTTTTAAGTTTTCAACGGTGTTGGCACCCAGCCTTATCCCAAAGCATTCCTGTTTGAAATTGACGTGATTATCACTGCTGTCTCCGAATGAAACTTCGGTGGCACTCACGCCTTATCAGGACCTGTCCCCAGGGACCGCTAGCCATCATTAAAAGCAGATGTTCTGCATTGCTGTAAATTGTAAACCAGAAAACGGACTGTCAGTCTCAGATGGGTTGCTATGTGAATGTTATTTTTCTAAATGAAAAAGAAAAGAGAAATCACCACGTACTTATGTCGGCTTCAGCATCTCATGTTAGTGGAGGGACACCAAACAGGTGTACGTAATACTGGTTGTCAAAGCAATTGTATGGTTTTCCCCCTGTGCAGGTACCCGGAGTCCAGCAACACGAAATGTACAGTAGTCCTAAATGTTCTTATGATCTCATCATCTTCCACTCCTCATCTTCTTCTATTTATTTCAGTTGTTATCAATTCAACTTTCATGAGATGCAGAAATTTCGGTAGACTCATGTCAGCACTTTAAAATATGCATATGTCAGCTGTCTATTGCTGCTTAGCAAATTATTCCAAAAGAGCTGCAGGCTGAAACAGCGAGTGGTTACTAGTTCACAGCAGTTCTAGGACTGTGAACCAGCCCATTAGGCCTGGATCAGGGTCTTTGGCGAGGTCAAGTATTTAGCTGACGATCATTTCAAGACTTGAGTAGGGCGGGGCATGGTGGCTCATACCTGTAATCCTGGCCCTCGGGTCTCAGGAGGTTGAGACAAGGGGATCTCAAGTTCAAGGTCAGTGTGGGCTATATAGGGAGTTCGAGGCTGGTGTGGACAATTAGCAAGAACAAAAGAATGACAGAGAGGCTGGGCATTGTGGCACAGCCTGTAATCCCAGCACTGGGGAGGCTGAGGCAGGAGGATCGCTGTGAGTTCGAGACCAGCCTGGGCTACATAGTGAGTTCCAGGTCAGTCTCAACTACGTAGTGAGACCCTGTCTCAAAAAACCAAAACCAAAGCCAAACCAAACAAAACAAAAAGAATGATAGAGAGAGAGAGATGGGGTGAAAGAGGGGGAGACTAATTTCACCTAGGGTTGGTTGCATCAGAGCAGGTTGTGAAAAATAGTTCAATTCTATTTATATAAAGGTAGAGGCTACAAAATATCCTGACAGAGTGAACACATGATGTGAAAGGGATGAATCAAGGGCATTGTCTTAGTCAGCTGTTTGTGACAAAATACTCCAGAAAAATAATTTATTTTTTATTTTATTTTATTTTATTTTTTTAGAGACAGGGTCTCATGATGTAGTTGAGACTGACCTGGAGCTCACTATGCACCCCAGGCTGGTCTTGAACTCACATGATCCTCCTGCCTCAGCCTCCCCAGTGCTGGGATTACAGGCATGCGCCACCACGCCTGGTTTCAGAAAAATAATTTAAAGGAGAAAAGATTCCTTTTGGCTCACGGTTTCAGAGGTTTCAGTCCATGGTCACCTAAGGTCAGAGCCTGTGAAGAAGGCCCGTGTTATCCTGTTCATGCATATACAAACATGCATGCACATACGCTAATGTACACATACATATGTCATGGCCTGCCATGGTTTTGTAGAAATGGGATTATGGAGACACTTTCCTAAACTTTGCTTTTTTTTCTTTGTCAGAAATTCATCTTGGGGCCAGGGAGTTAGCTTACTGGTTCCACTTGAAGAAAGTCCTCTTGAAGACCTTTGGGTCAAGAGCTCTAATTCATTATTTTTAACAATTGCATAATATCTCATGGCACAAATCCACCATTACTTCTTCAGAGGGGAACATGGCGTAAAGTGGGCTCTGAGGTGGTCACTCATACTTTCTGAGACCTGGTGCACCCGGGAGTTCCCAACTGAGAAAACTCCACATGCGTATCACTTGCTTGACAAAAGAGGGACAGATTATCTTACTGGGCTAGTAGCTTTTTTTATTTTTATTTATTTATTTATTTTGGTACCAGGGATCAAATTTGAGTCCTTATGCTTGCGAGGCAGGCAGAGGCACCACTGAGCTAAATCCCTGGCCCTGGGCTCTTTTTCAAGTGAGAAGAATGCCAAATAATTGGCAATAATAGCTGAGGTCTTTAGGAGTCATGATTAAAAGGATTTGGGAGGTTGCTTGGTTTTAAGAGGGAACCTCAAAGGGAAAAATAAAATAATACAATGCATAATCTTCTAAACACAGGTCTTATCTTGTGATTTTTAAAATGTACTCTTCAAAGACTTCCACTGCCCTGAGATCCAATTCCTTAGAGCAGCTTGTTCAGCTCTTCAAAGCCTGCCTGGTTCTCTTTGGCCAAATCCCCTCCTTGCACTCACCTCTTAAACTGCTCGGGATGGTGGGGCCCCACGGAAGCTCTGTGGTGTCCCCGATTGCTGAGCTTCTCAGTAGGTTTTTCTTTTCCTCTGACCTGGCCCTCTTGTCTCCTCTTTCTGGAACTACCTCAGCCCGGTGCCTGCACCTGTTAAGGGTTCCTTCTCTGTGTTATCACAGAGCCTCTATCATAGTCGTTTATTCATCTACACACCCTTTTCTGGACTCTTGCATCTCAGAGACAAATGTTTGCTTGTGCATCCTGAGAACATATAAAAGTTCCTCAGTAAAAATGTGTTGAATGAATGTGTAAAAATAAAGGCTACTAAGAACTGAAGTAAGGCCAATTTGAGAACTAAGGAGACCACCTGTCCAAATGGCTAAGGGTGCCACATGTTGCATTTAATGTTTAGCAGCCCACACTGAAGAAATTTGTTAGTCTTTGACAGAATGATTCAGTGGTATTTGTAATTAAAATATTGATAATTATGTAATTTCATAAATATGGACCAGTGGGCCAGAGCATAATGAGACATTAAAGCAGAATTAGAGAGCAAACCTCAGCATAATTGGTTTTAAATCATTTAAATTTTGGTAGCCCATTGCCTTGAAGTCTTTTAAACAAAACATAACCACTGGGGATGGCGGTGCATACCTGTAATCCCAGCACTCGGGAGGCTGAGGCAGGAGGATCACTGAGGTTGGAAGCCACCCTGGGCTTCATAGTGAGTTCAAGGCCAGCCTGAACTACATAATGAAACCTTGTTTAAAAAAAAAATGTTTATTATGGGAGTAGACCCACGTATAATATAACATTAAATCCAGGTTAATTGATTATCAAAGACTCTCTGGTCTGGGATGGTACAAGGGAGTTTATGTAATAAAAACTTCTGGGCAGAATATTTTCTCATGACATCTGGGATTCACTTCATATCTATTCATCCAACTACGTCAGATTCAGAGCTGGGCCTAGATGGTCCCATTTTTCTAGGATTTCAGGCCACACACTTCCTATGCCTCAGCCACTTGGTTCTTCCTAGTTTTGCATCCCTTGAGTTCACCCCGGGTTCTCACGCAATCACAGTGCTGCTTAGCCTTGCTAGAGAAGGTTCCAGAAAGTGCTACCTGTTTCCTCCAGAAATGCAGTCTCCAGCATTACAGTGCGGATCGGTGCCAGCGGCAAGTCCTTGAACGGTCTCTGGACACTTCTCTTTCCTGTTTTCTTTGGCAACCATTTCAAACAGTTTAGTCATCTTCACATACTCTCTGCCACGTGAATCATATGCTGAGAAAATTCTACTGATGGGAAGAATTTGCCTCCCACTTCAGTCCCCTGAAATCCACTTCTGTATTTCAAGGTTTTGATTTCTGTCTCAACAAGGACCTTGTCTCCTTCTTCTGTTCATACCTGCATCACCTTCTCATCTGGACACAGATCCTGTTTTGCTTTTCCTATTCACTCTTCAGAACGTTGAAACTCCCCGAGCCATCCTTTCTCCAGAGGCCACACGAGAGCCCCTTCCTTCCTGTGTCTTCTTCCCTCTCCACTCCTTTCCATATCAGGCGCAGAGCAGCTGGGCTGGGCTCCCACCACTGCCGGTGGATTGGTGGATTCTCCACTCCCTGTGGATGCTCTGGAAGACAGGGTCTGAGAAACAGGAATCCGTCTTTGCCTCTTTCTGTCCAGAGCCTTCCTTCGTTCTTGGCACACAGTTGCTCAGTGGAACTTGAATGGGGGGTTGGAGAAGTTGCCAAGTCACAAGAGATATCGAGTCTTCTCTAGATTCCATGGTAAAATGGTAGTAGTGCAAATATCTCAGAAATTATACGCTGAATGGAACGTTCCTAGAGAATTAGTGTCCTTGCCCTCTGATGTTTCTGTCCATCAAAGTTCCGAGGCTGCTTTGCTTACACTGGAGAACAATAGCAGAGTGGAACCAGCCTTTGGGGG